TGCTTCACATGTTACAAAACCGACACGGTTCGATAAACTGCAATTAAAGCAAAACTAGTCAGAGAATTTTGGATTTTCTGTTGCCCCACTTTTGAATACTTTCTCCGCTATGAAGGTATCAAATTAAATCCCAATATAACTAATGCGAAAACTTATGAAAGCAGACATTAACAATTGGTCAACATACGTAAATACGGCGCGGTTCTTCATATGAACACGTACAGGTTGATGGCTGAATGGTATTAACATTTTCCACAAGTGATTCACAAGTTTTGTGAAGTTAAGAAAAAATACAATTTCTAAGCTGACCCATTCGTTATAGTATTATAGTCTTTAATTAACCTTCAGATTTGTGACCCTTATTTTTTTCTTTAAAAGAACTTGCTTACTTCCTGAAACTTTCTAACGTTTGTTAAAATCTGGCAATTGTTAAGAGTCCTTCTATAAATGGGAATATTCGATTGTCTCCTTAATTAGTTGCACTTTTAGTAAGTTTATTGTCAATACTAACCACAATCTGACGTAAATCCACATTATAATTTGCTGAATAACGCCATGAAATTTTCAGTAATAAAAGAAAAAAAAATCATTATTAAGTAGTTTACTCCCGAAGAAGGCCTCAGAAAATGTTTTCTCGGGTTAGTAAATATTCACAAAACTGGAGTACAGCTCTAATAGGCAATGTCTATATTTTTGTACTTCTAAAGAGAATTAAATTATAAGTCCCCTACATAGCCTTTGTCTCTTTGGAGCTAATTTATACTTTCTCTGCTTCCTGTGGGCAGTATAAAGCTTCGACTTGTCGGTTAAAAGCTTTTCAACCCCGGAATGATGATTTAAATATTCTAGTTCAACAAGACCAAAAAAGGCCTTGACTGTACCTCCTCACAGATACCTCCACTTAGACGGGTTCTTTCAGATGCTGCATAATTAGATTACTATATTCTTGCTAATTTAATATTTGTTTTCGAAAAGTCCCTTCTTGTACAATACTCGCCCGTAAAAGCATATATTACCTCTCCTCCATAATGCTCTGACGTGTATTATCACATCCGAGGTGGTTTTCGGTTCATTTTAAAGTGGTGCGGCGGTGAAAGCTCACCCTGCCAACAAAAAGAAGAACTGTTCTGGAAAAGGGCTTTATATACCATGGGATTTGTTTTGGATATGATGAACACTGCGTTGTGGTGCCTTGTAGGCCCAGAGTAATCGAAGAATTATGGATAAAATTACACCCAGAATGAGACTGAAGACTTTCCACCGTAAGTATGCATCGGATATTTTAAGAAATCCTCGCTTTTATCGCTCTCTGCTGGCCGGCGTCGTCTGACAGTGGCTTTAGGGATTGCTGAAGGTGGGATGTGACATCAGATTTAGATTATATACTAGTATAGCTGTAAAAAGGGAATTTATCATGGAAAAAAATTCTTGTTGTGGATGTTGTTTGACACTAATGAGCACATATCATGGCGAAACTAAAAAAAGATGACTCGATCTATTTCTGAAACCATGAGGAAATTAGTAGAGTTTAAGCCTGACAGCTCGACCTATTTTTTTAAATGCTATATTTCTTTAATGCCTTTCAATGTTTCTTTAGATTCGAGGGTCACGAACTTCGCTAATCACTGGACGACTAAAAGTATTGTATCAACAGTTCCTAGTGGAAAGACCAAAGTTCTCCCACAATGGGGTAGGTAGCTAATTTTAAAAGGTATGAATAAATTTGCCCCTTCAACCTTGAAACCGCCACTGAAAGCTAATATTAAACAATGTTTTAGAAAGGACATTTTCATCAAGTTAGCTTTTCCTTCGAAATGTTTGAAAGTAAGTAAATCCGTGGGGTCATGGAATATGTTGAGTTTCGTGTAACCAGTTTTCGCGGAACTAAACAAATCTATCGTTCACTCTGCAGTATCGTTGACTTCCTATTGGTTTATAACAGGGCGCCTATTTTTTCAATGGAGAAGGTAAAACAGTTTGTGACTGACGCAGACTTAAATTAAAACTGACTTACAGAAAAACTTTTTGGTCCGATAAAATTAAAGACAGTTAAATGCTGACTAAGTAATTGATACTGAATTAAATAAAACGTGACTTTTTTCTATTATTCTCTTACAAGCTTAAAATTCACTATATTGGAATGTTCTTCCCGAACAAAACAATAATTAGATTCTGGTGTAAATAGTTGATATCGACAATATCGCGTTTCATTCACGCCAAGGTGACGACAAACCAAAACATAGATAACACGATAACGAAAAAATAAGTATTACCACTACGTTGGCAATCCTCAAAATTCTGCCGGTTTCATATATATCGAATCTCTGCCAGATCACATGACAATGTTCAAATCTCCTGTGTAACTATGGGGATTTAGGTCGACACATATATTGTTCGTTTACATCAGTTAAGTCTAGTATTCACGTTTTGGTCATCTCTCAAAATGCGCGCTGTTTTCCCCTAAAGTTTCCATAAACCTTAATAGAGAGGGGAAGTGTGACGTCACGTTACCACGGTCGCAAAATTTTTGGATGACAAGAACGACGATGGCGACAGCAGCGAGGATGGCAAAAAAGCAATAGAGTACTAAAGTGATGACGTCATAAAAATGAAATTTCTGAAATTATGGGATTTGTCAGGATATTCTGAAAGAACAATGTCCAGGAGGCCTACTTGCCAAAAATGAGCATTTGGGGGCAAATTGTCTTACAATTTGCCCCCAAATGCTCATTTTTGGCAAGTAGGCCTCTTGGACATTGTTCTTTCAGAATATCCTGACAAATCCCATAATTTCAGAAATTTCATTTTTATGACGTCATCACTTTAGTACTCTATAGGTTTAGACAGAAGCATCTACGCTTCTGGTTTATATTAGCAAAACAACAACTTTGCACGTGCATCTCGTTTTTTTGTACATTTCTTAGCCGTCGTTGCACGACTGTGACATGAAATTTCCTAAGTAAAAACTTAACGCGCCTGTTTTATGGGGTAGATAAACACAACACAAAAATTTTCTTTTCCTTTTTGTAATCTTGGATACCGTCCTTTCGGATTCAACCCCAGAAATTTCGCCAACATTAGACAAATTAAATGAAAATGAATAAAATCGAAGAAGTTTGAAACAGTGCGAATTCACATTTTAAGTGACGTTTTCGGTTGCTACCATGGCAACGTGAATTAGCGACTTCTCTCCATGTTTTTGCTCCTTGAAATACCACGTGACATAGCTTTTATCCCATGATCCTAAAGCGCGTGCAAAGCGATGGCGGGTATCGTGAATAAGATCTATTTCCCTCGAGTACTTCAGCCATCCCAAGAATAAAAGAATGCTTATCCAAAATTTTGGCAAATGTGCAAATGAGTATCAGATGATTCTAAAAGATATTTCAAAATGATCACGAGTTTCGGATCATTTTTTTCCTCTGGCCTGCCTAAGTTTAATCCAGCCGTAGTGCTACTGCCGTGCCCACTCAATCCAGAAATTATAAATACTTTAGAATACATTTTGAGGGATGGCTACACCGCTCTTGGGAAACTGATATTTTATTTATTCGACAGAATTAAATAAGATGTCCGAAGCCAAGTAGTGCGACAGATAATTAACTCAGCTTGGCACGACGTTAGAAGTGGGCCATTAGATTAGTTATAACATTAGTTAGAATTTGTCCACCCATGGTTAGGGCGTGTTCGATTGACTGTATTCCGGTATACATCAGAGGGTAAGAATAAACGGAATGCTAAACTCTAGAAATCAGTTCTTTTGGCATTCACTGCATTAGAGTATCTAGGAATCCGCCTTAAATAAAATTCCCGGTGTATCATGTAGAGTTTAAATGGTCCAACACTGTAGACGAGATTTGTACCAAAATGTTTGTGAATATTTCGGAATACGGTCAATGGAACCCACCCTTCGTAGGTTTTCGTATCTGAAGGTGATCAATATTTGGTTATTGCTTCATGTTATGCATGCTTCATTCACTGAAGGGAAGCCTAAAGTAGTTTGAAGGCTAATTTAAGTTTTAAATGCTACTTGTCAACCCAATCACTTTATGAGGATTAATAACACTTAAGAATGATCATTTTGAGCGTAGAGAAACCGACGGCAATTGGAGCCGTTTCGAAGGAATAATTAGACACGCAATGACGGGTGCGTGCCTTCAATTACTGAATAAAAAAAGAGCGGAATTAACTCTTGTAATCATTGATTTAGACATTTTTAGTCGGTGCTGCTACACCTACAACCTTGTCTAACACAATATTCCGATGTTAGTGGAAAGTGACGACACTCTCTTTTGAGGCTGCAGAACTGGTATTCAAACGGAAGAAAATGGCACATTTGACTAAGGAAATCTTGATTCTATTTCTCGGCAATACAACAGACAAAACAGGAAACGCGTGAACGGTTTAATGGGCACACTAATATACATATATATATTTTTTCGATACAAAAGATTTCTTTTACAAAGTGAGAAAACCCTTTTTTACTGCGTGTTTTTTACGGAAATGAGAAAATCTGGATCGAAAATACTCATTAGATTCACCTTTAATAATAAATGGGACTATCAAATGAACTTTTAACACCACTAAAAGAAAGAGCAAGTAATTAAGTTATTTTCTTTACCGAATGTTCGTTTTTTTTTCGGTGCATCGTCGTCGAAAATAGATATATTATGCCTGAGGAGAAGGTTGAATAGAATGACGTTATGTGAACTCATTATTCATTAATCTACGTAAAGTTCTCCTTCGTGGTGCCGGTCAAAAGTCACTCGGAAATTATTGTTTGGACCAAACAAGCTCCATTACAATATTGCAGAATAATTTTTAACCACAAAATTTCTGCTCACTTGGACTGAAAGGGAAGCAGTTTCTACAAAGACCAACGGGTCGCATGTTTCCTGAGTTAAGCGCCATATATTTCTTTGTCAGCTGGTCCTCACTGTTTAATTGTAGATGTTTTTCGTGATTAACTGATTAAATCTCAATTTTTTTATGATCGTATCATGCCAAGATTGTGTTTTACCCGTTATTTCTCACCAGCGTTTATTCTTATAGCTGTGGGTGGAGGAGTAATTCTTGGTGTTATTTTCATCGTGTTCATTTATCGAATGTGTTCGCGGTACAAACAGGAAAGGGAGAAAGAAAGCAGGGTGCCTCGAGTTTCATTCAAACTGCCGCCAGCCAGACCGGACGAATTTACCATTACAACACAGACGAAGTACCCGCAACAGGAGTACGACGATAATGAAAATTGTCACTTGGATCCTGAGTTTTACAGGTAAAAGTGAATGATACAAGTCTCAGTCGGAATAAGTATAGAAAAGTTGATACATCACAAACAGCTTTAGTCCTTTGCTTAAGTTGTTCTTTTTTGTTGTCTTCAAGAGGAAACGAATGTTAACGCCTTATGCCTACAATTAGGGTGGATTTACATGCGTACACGCGTAAAATTTACGTGCACAAATAAAATAGAGGCAGTGACGGTTAAGGTCCCGTGTAAACATTGAAGTGGAACCTCGCTCAACTTTCCCGTTTATGCGCGACACTTCATACATTGCCTCTATTTTATTTACGCGCGTACGCAAGTAAAAATTACGCGACAGTGAAAATCATCCTTATGGTCTCAGGCAAGTTCCTCAGAAATGTGGCAAAATTTTACCTTTCTTGCTACCGGCGGTATTTGGTCTTTTTCACTCTATTCTCTTAAATTAAACTACGTGGGGTTAAACAACGGACAGGATCTTGATATTCTTAAACATAAACAGGATCGTTCTTCATTTTGCTATTAGCAACTTTTAATGGTCCTGGTAGGCATTAGTTAATTTTGCAAAGAAAACTCGACTTGAAAAAGGTCGTAGAAGTTGAGCCATGTGAGCAGAGAGAAAGCCCAAACACCATTTTTCTCAGTCCCTATGCCGAAAGTCGTTGTTAAAAGGCCAAAAAATGGAGGGGAGAAAGAGAAGAGAAAAAGCAACGGTTGCCGAATATTTTTTCCATTCCTAAGTTTATTTCGTTTTGGCTTCCAGAGAAGAAGATACAGAAGAAGGGTCGCCATTTATGGGTACAGCGAAGCTCTGCTTTTCTCTGAATTACGATCAAGCAAACGAAGAACTACTTGTGTGTCTCCTGCGAGCTACACGCCTCACTCCAGTCGGCGAAAACGTTACTGTCACACCCTACGTCAAAATATTCCTCCTACCAGACAAGAAACGCAAAGTCCAGTCCAGGGTTCTACGAAGGACGTCAAATCCCCAGTTTTTTGAAGATTTTGTATTCGCAGTATCACCCGAGGACTTGCCAAACAGAACACTGGAATTCACTGTTTGTGAATTTGACCGCTTTTCCCGCCAACAGGTTATCGGTCACGTGGTGTATCCTCTTAAAGATGTGAATGTAATGTGGTCACCTGAAGGAACCGGGGAGATCTGGGTCAACATAACTAACCAAGATTTTCAGGTTCGTATATTCTTAAGACTTTTAGTGTTTTACCTCGACAACTTTATTTTTCATACACTAAATACATTATAGACCTCATCCCTAACTACACATTTCCAAAATAAAGCAAAATAACCTCAAAAAGAAAGAATGGATTAGCATTTCCTTCCGACACTAGGATACTAGACGTGGGATTCAAAACGGGGTGACTCGTCGTTTTTATTTTTACATAAATAAGCGATTTCTGGTCGAGAGCTTGGTCAATGAGAGTATAGACCATAGAAATGACGTGATGGGTGCGCAATTCTTATTTCTTTCTCTTGGGCGCTTTTCTCCGTGAAGGACATTTAAAAAACTGGAAAATGAAAGTAATTGTAACTAGACACTGAGAGGGCGTATACTTGGGCGTCGTTGCATTACGCGAATGTGAAGTTTTTATTGTGTGTCAGGGATGTGTGAGTAGTGCAATAGTGTTATTTATTGTTAAGAGTTAGTTGAGATGTGTGAAGTAGAAGACGTGGAGCCATATTGGACGTGGTTTCTCTTTGGTATGATTATGTGCTGAATATCAATGCACCGAACGTTGCTTCACAGGGAAGACTCGAGCTTTTCCGCAGAATTTCTGATATAAACTGTCTCACCGAATAACGAATACGAGCAAGCTCTCTACTTCGAAGTGGTGAGCGAAGCCTAGCCGCAAGAGAATCCGCGAGCGCCGCCCCCTTTCTCGCGTCTCCTTTCGCGTGTCTCTCGCGCGTGAATTCTCTCAACATCCCTAAAATGGAGAGTTTGCTCACAGGCTGGATATGTTCCAATTTTGATCATTGTGGGAGATGGTTTCATCATTACGATAATCCTCAAGAGATTTTCACGTCTGATTCTAAAGAGCCTTTAATTCTGTAGAGTTAATTCATCGAGTGCTAAAAGCTTTTCCCTCTTTCTACAAATCGAGAGCCTTTTCTAAAGGCGCTGGCTATACAACAAATTAGTTCTTTCGACTATGAGATGTACCGTCAGGCAGTTTGAAAGTTGGAGCTAGTCCCTTTCGTGGTGCCTTTCTTAAGATAACTCGACATATTTATCCCAAAGTTTTAAAATTAGTAAACAGGGTTTTAAAAATAACTTTCGAGCATGTAGTTTGCAAGTGATGATGTTGGACTTCGCCCCTTTTACGGTCCGTGCGCAAAAAGAATACAACTTGTTTACGAGATTAATTTTAGTGTTAAGACTGATATCCTAACGTCAATTAGTTGCAGTAAAATTACCGAACTGCCGAGATACTTTCAGTATATGGCCACTCATCTCATGCTACTCCACTCGAAGACACAATCTCTTTATTCACTTTTCTTGCATCGGCGGGAAACTGATCGCGGAATTTTGCGTTACATCTCCTTTGGTTTTCGACCAACCTGAGACTGAAAAATGCTCGCTCAAACTCTTGATTATAGCCAAACCCGTCAATTCCAATTATTACTCAAACAGCGAATTTATCTCCAGGTGCTTTGTGTATCCTTGTGTGGCTTTAACCTATTCATCATTTTTTTAATTTAAATCCTCATAATTCCGTTTAGTTCGTCGCCGCAGCGTCTAACGCAGATTTACAATGTGCGAGCCAGCAAGCCAGACGTTCGAGGCATCTGAAAACACGCCAGGCACAAACAATTCGTTAGCAAAAAAGCTTATGACGGGCCGGCACAACTCCTGTAGTTCATAAAGTATTCTCTTCTGACCGTCATAGCTTCGTTCTTACTAAAAGGTTTACAAGGGATTTTCTGCACATTTCTAGACAGAAAAATCCCCCGTGAACTTTTCAGCTAACCTTCCTTTGTGTAGTATAGTCAGCAAAATTATTTTATCTATTACATGTTATTAAATTGCAGAAGGGCGTGGATAAAGGGGAGTTGTTGTTTTCGCTCCAGTTTCTTCCAACCTCATGTAGACTTACGGTAGCTGTCCTCAAGGCAAGAGGTCTGGGGCTGCAAGGAGAGGACAATGATTTGGGTGAGGAAATAAAAAGCAGATGAAATCATTAGAAAAACGAAAGGAAAATGTTTATAGACGGAAAGTAGCAACAATATCAACCTGAAATGTAGAAGCATCGACCGGCATAAAAAAAAATCCTACTAGTAACTCACGTTTTTTTCTGTTTCAAATCCTTGAGTCTAGTGTTGTTAAAGGAGAGAATTTTTTTTTTTTTTGGGGGGGGGGGGGGGGGGGGGGGGGGGCAAATTTTTGGAAAAACACACCCACCAAAAACAAAACAAGATTGAAAATCTTTTTCTCCCCAAGTATCCAAAAACTTTCCGCGTTTTTTTTTAAAAACGCTTAAAACACAAAAAAACCACATTAAAATAGTAAAAGAAAAAAAAAAAATAAGAATAAATAAAAAAAACAAGAAAAAATAAGAAAAAAATTAATGTGATATTTTTAATTTTTTGTTTGTTTTTTTATTTTGGAGGGTTTGTGTTTTGGTGGGGGGGTGTTGGTTTTTTTGTGGGGGGGGGGGGGGGGGGGGGCGGGGGGGTCAATATTTTGGAAAACATCACCTACCAAATACTAATCATGATCGTAATCGTTTTGCTTCCTAAGATTCCACAAAATTTCCGAGTTTTATTTCATAAAATGCTAAAGAACAAATAGTACCACGTGAAAGTAGTGGCAAAGAGGTTTCAGTTGAATGGACATTCTGCAAGATTTTTCCGCTGACTCAAAAGTTATAGAACCACGTTATAATGCAAGATTCCATTTTGAACTCGGGGAGTGACAGGGCTCATGTCACCTGTGGGGGAGTACCATATAAAAGTGAAGGGGATGCTCGTCGGAATTAAAATTAAACCCCTAAGCGAGACCAAGGCCGGGTGTGGCTCAAGCTTAAACTGAACCTAAAGGAGATATCTGTGTGGTTTTTGTCACGGCATTTTTTTGTAAATTTCTTTATGCACAGCCCTAAGGGATACCTGAATGGGAAAATATAAGTGACTTTCAGCCCTAAACACCCTAAGTGAGACCAAAATCTGCAATTTACACCCGTAAGTGAGACGACGGGCATCTCTATCAATTTTATACGGGAGTTCCCCCTCGGTGGTATCCCGGTTTACGGTTTTGATTTTATCCCACTTTTATATGCAAGAAAACGATATCTGCAAGTAGGAGGAAGATAAATACTCCCTACTGAGGTATTGACTCAAGGGAAATATAAGTGTTCGTCTGTATTGACGATAGTGTAGTTAAAAAACAAAACTGATTGACTTCAGCCATTTGTTAAGCTACATAACGTACAGTAACTCTTCTTTAAATTACCGTATATATTTTTTCATTTTTCAGATCCGTATGTCAAAGTTTCAATGATTATGGGAGGAAAAACCTTGAAAAAGAGAAAAACAGTTGCAAACAAAAAGACCGCAAACCCAGTTTACAATGAAGCGTTCGTCTTCACTCTTCTTCCGTCCTACCTCGATCGCGTGAGCTTCATGTTATCTGTGTTCACCGTAACGAGGCTGGGTGGATCAAAAAAGCTGATTGGTCGAGCGGTAGTGGGACCATATATGTATTCAACAGATCAGGGACTCTCGCACTGGAATGACATGATCAATTCACCGCGTAATCCAGTAGCACAATGGCATACACTTATTTGAAAAAGCGATTTCATAAAATCGAGGCCAAAGAAATTTAATTCAGAAACACTAATAAAGGAAGAACCACAGTAACAAACCAGTGAGGACAGCAGGATCTTGAGTAGATCTGGATCAGAAAAATCTCTATAATACCAAGTAGAACAGCAGAAAAAAAACCTGACCCTTACGGCCAGAGGAGGGAAAGAGAAAAAAATATGAAGAAAAATCAAATGTTAAAAGTTTATTTGCACGATATTTCGGTTTGCAACACAAACCGAAATATCGGGCAATACCGAAATATTTATATTATATTAAGCCTGGTTTTCACTTACAGAGCAGCCACAAACGCAAGCGTAAAAATCCATATTTCACAGTGAAAACGGCATGCAAACATAAGAACAGGCTCAAGAACTGAATAAGGTTATTCCTTTTAATTTCTTGTGCTTGTCCTTCCCTCAGATCTCATTTTTACTTGACGCAAGACTCTTTTTCGATTCGCGCTAGAGTTCTTGCGTTATGCACTACGTCGCAAGTGAAAGGCAAGGGTATGGGTTCGTTTCGCCCAACGGGTCGTGATTTGCACGACAGCAGTTCGCCCAAGCTCAAGTCGATTCACCCCATGTGTATTTGACTTTGTTTGCATTCAGCCTGAAAATTGAATAAGCCAAGCATAAAACGACAATGGCTGTACATGTGTAATAAATACTCTGATGAGTATGCTCATCGCTTTGCAAAGTGTTGCATGTCATCGGGTGAATAAACTTTCTGGCGAAACGACCGCAGTTCAAAAGAAGCAGGCATTTGGATAGCCTCCCACACAGGCGTTTTTACGAGCTCCCCTCAGAACGTCTGCGTGGGAGGCTAGCGTTTGGAAGGCGGGAGAAATTTAGTCGCACGAGAACGCAAAAGTTGTCACCAACTCCCTCGCACGGCATCGCGTTTTCGTGCCTCTGATTTCTCCGGCCCATCCTTTATTATGATTGGCACGGATGCTATTGCACAATTAATTGAAACAAAAGTAAAACGACGAGGAGTTCTAGAAGTTATATTATGGGTATGAAACTCACCCATTATAGTGTTAAACCTCTGATGGCGACCATCTCTGGTGTCTAATCCATTTTTAACCTGAATTTCTTCCAAACATTATCAAAATTACGTAAGTTGTTTTTTCGTTTAATTGCATTAGCATTGTCATAGAAACAGAGAATTGAGACTAGCCAAATGAGAATAAAAACAGCCAGAACAAAGAATTTTAAAAAAAAATTATAGACAAGCGATATGTTCCCTGTAGCCGGGTAGGGCAATTGATAGCAAATAGAAAAAGGAAACTGAAGCTTCTCTATGCAACTCCAGGAGAACTCCTTCCTGAAAATGACAGGACCCTGGCTCATCAGTTGATTTTTCAATGTGTAAGAGGAAGCAAAAAAGCAATTCGTCGGGGAAAAAGTAGTTCTCACCACATTTCATTTTAGATTTTAGCACCTTAAGCAGTACCAATAATCCACAACGTTTATCTCCTAAAGGCACAAAAAGCAGAAAAGTCATTATTATGGTGGACTCACCTCCGGGGTGATGTACTGCTGAAAGCCATAAATTGGTTGAGTCAAGGTTAATTAATTCCTATTTGACTCTTTTATTTGGTCTTTCTTCCCTCAATACTCTTCACTAAATTCTAGCATGTCAACTGATTTGCGTAAAAGACAATACATTTCATTGACATTCTGGAGGTCGCTTGTGAGTGGTTTAACTTTATTTAAATGAATGAACCAATATGCTGATACATATCATAATACTGATGTTTCAGTGAAGTAATATATGTTACAGGTAAAAATTGATTTCAGAGGAAAATGTCGCTTTTAACCTTATAAATAGCATTTCATAGCAAAAGGATCAATTAACAAGACTTGCCCTGTGTGTTGTTTTCTATCTCACGGCCGTATTTGTCTAACAAAAACTCATGAAAATAATGATAATTAAATAGAAAACTACAGAAGGAGCTACTCCTGTTTGTTTGTTCAGCTCTGAGTTATTAATAAAGTGTATATAAAGTAGAAACTTTCTAGGGTGGGATAATATAAACTTAGTGTTGACACAGTATGACAGGCATCAAATGAACAGGCCATAAGGGATGCTTTAAAAGAAGCTGGTGCAACTTTAGTCAAATGCTTTGTTTTAAAAGATTTTACCTGTATTCCTGTGAACAAAGGCACCAACTTGAGGCTTGGATAGACTTAATAGGATGATTACTATAAAATTGTCCAACCAAGTCTTGACCCTGTTCCATTATGTGCACTTGCAAGAGTGAAATGTGGGAGAGGTCTATCATATGAGTGAAGGAAAATTTTGCCAGGGTTACCTTACCTATATATTAGGTTCATTCACTCCCTCCATTACCATTGTGCTTGACCATACAAGTAACCCACCCAACTGATGACTAAAGGGGACTAACAGCAGTCAATTTCAAATTGTATGGTAAAGATTTCCAACTCGGTCAATTGCAGAAAGACCCCTTTGTTCTATATAATAATAAAAGATGTTTCATCCTATTCTGAGTTACAACAATAAAATAATGTTATTATTCTACTTCAAATTGTTTCCATTTTGCAAATTACATTGAAGTTAAGTCTTCCTACATGGTACAATTGGTCATCTCAGATTAGTAAATCATGGGGTACAGGTTAGTTGGGGTTAGAGTCAGCAAGATACATGAAATGGGTGATTCCAGAAAATATCCATACCCTACCACGGGTGGCATGAGTATTTTAACCCCCCCTTGCCCTCGGAAATTCCAAAATGCTTATCCCCCCCTTGCCCTCCGAATTCCAAAATCGCTAACCCCCCCTCTCCTCCGGAATTTTCCACTTTTGTTTCAGACCCTTTGGAATTCCTGTTCGTCTGCCTAAATCTTCAAACGAACGAGAAACTTGCACTTTTTCCCTCTGCAAAAGAATTCTGTTCTGTTCTGTTCAAAACACTTGCGCATAAACAGTTTTGAATTAAACAGCGCATCAAAAGGCACACTGTCGGATTTTACTACCTACATGTTGGCGTGAAAATCGGCGTGAAATACAAAATCTGTCAGGCGTTCTATTTGGAAATGAGAGACTGGTGCGATCGACAATCAGCGAGAAACACCGACTTGGTTATATTTTTATTAATCAGTTGACTAATTCATCAACTTTAAGGCCTCTTCGATGTGGAGCTTGCTGCACAACCCATCTGCTTACCCATCTGCATGAACGCATACTTCTTCCGTGGTCGGTTCGTGCTTCATTTACAAACTGGGAATGTTAACAGGTCAGCGATTTCAAGCGGAGCTTTCGCCGTCTTTCCTCTGGAAATTCACTGAATTCAGAGCTGAAACACCCCCCCATGCCTTTGGAATTCGAAACTGCGTTACCCTCCCACGTCTTCGGAATTCCAGTCCAAGAAACCCCCCCTCTCCCTCGGAATTCCAAGATGCCGCCCGTGGTATGGTATGGATATTTTCTGGAATCACCCAATATGCCAACCTGATTCTTCTGCTACCTTAAACCTCTTGTACTAAAAAACACCGTTTTTCACAACACAATTGCAAAGTTGTTACGATTTCCACCTTTCCTTAAGACTTGCTTAGGAAACAGTTGAGCCTGGCATTGTCCTGTCTTGTTGAACATAAAGAAGCTCAACTTCTTGCTGTTATGAGTGACACACACCTCGAACCCTAAACTATCCATCATGGATATAAGATGACCTTTGTTTAGGTAACGTGAATTGTTCAGACAAGGAAGTGGTAGTACAATGAATAAATAGCCTTGATCAGTGATTAGCTTTTCACATTTCCGCAGCATATCTCCTCGTTTACGAACGTCCCCCTCAAAGTTTATTACCAAACTCATCACAATAACATCATACTTTTCCTTTTCGTTTAAAGTTAAAAAATCAGCTTTTTTAACGTGACCATTTTGGGGATTTAGGTCAATAGCTGTACATTCAATCCATTTTTCGTGTCTCTGATAATTGTTATCAAGTGCCCCAACGTCAAGAAGTCGTAATTTATCACTTGTACCTTCTGCCTGGACGAGACGAAGATTTAAGACTTTCAGTTGCTTTACTACCCACTTTGCCGAGTTGAAACTTCCGTGGTGAGCTTCTCCAAGTATTGAAGCCTGTTGATAAGCATTTATCCCTCCAAGTTTATCCTTTCTTGCCTCCAATGCTGCGATCTTAGAAGCTTTATCTTCCCTAGAAATCGATGGATTCTTTCGCATAGCGTCAATTTTTTTGTTTAAAGTGTGATATTCATTTATAACCTTCCGATCTTTCTTTACATTGATTTCGACGATAGGCTTTTTTGCTTTCTTCCTGTTCTTCTTTTGTTTAACTTTTTTATCCTGTTTTCTCGTTTCACCAAGGTTTGTTCGGATATTTTGCTCATAGGCTACCATCACTTTCTCCGCCATTTTGAAAGTGAAGGCTTGGCTACTAAGCTCGCTCGAAGCCTCGCTTCCGTCCTCTTTAATGTCTGCCTGAGCCAAAATGGTGAGTGTTCAGTAAATGTGAATAGTAATCCGAAGAATTCTCTTGCATCCAGCTCTCTTTTATGCTATTTGTAAAACCAAATGAAAAGTATATGAGTATTAAAACGGTTTAATAGCCTTTTGTTTCCCTCCAGCCGAAAATACTGGTAGAATAACTTGTCAATGTACTCTAGTAACATGGAACATCTATGGTTTTCGTACCATTATTTTCCTGAGCTACAAAATTTTAAGTATTGTTATCCTTCTTTGGAAAACACACCATATTGCTTTATCCCTTTAATTTTAACGAGTTATTTGCTGTAAGATTGTAATTAAAAGGATTGTTGATGTTGGTGGTCCGTGTTTTCTGCGTTTTATGTTACAGAGCGACGGGACAGCAACGATTAGAACAAGAAAGTTCTTAACGAACCGCCTGCTTCAGAGGAAGCAAATGGTAATCCTCACAACTTAGGGATTTTTCAAAATTTAGTGAATGAATGTATTTTGGCCATGGCGTGTTTGTGTGTGTGTTTTCTTTAAAAATAAAATGTTAAGTCGTTCCTGCCACATAACTAGATGGCACAAGTGATTTAGGTGCTGCAAATTATCTATTCACGGTCGTTTCGTCTACGAGTCATGAGGCCGTCTTAGGGGGGGTTACGTATATCCCTAGTCTGAATTTAAAATCTGTTGTTTCGTGTATTAAGGGGGAAGCCATGTTGCTGTTGGTATTTACTATTGTATTTGCACTTTTGTCTATCGCTGCCCTATTGCTGTCACACTTTCAACCCATCTTTGTGTCATTTGTCACCATATCTGCTGTCTTATCACGCTGTTTCAAGGTCACGTCGCTTTTTGGATTTTTACCCTAGCAGTGCCTCAGTCATTGTCTTAACATCTAATTTGCTGATTTCTTACAATGTAATTGACTTGGTAGGATTTCTGTATAGCCCCAAACATTCACTATTCGCACATGTTTCAACATGATTTGTGTGAATAGTATGAAGTTGGTGCATGCATAATAAGCATATGGGGCTGTGTGGAAATCTTACCCTGAGAGAGTGAAATATTTGGTTGTCAGTTCTTTCTTGACATTTTTAAGGTGATAAATAGACAAACAGGTACCCTTTATGTGTTGGGGTTCAATTTTTTCGCTTTTCTTTTGGTCACTGTATTATGTGTGTTAGTGAGTTTGAATCAAAGGAAAATACAATTTGAGTCTAGGAAAAACTAAAATCACAACATAGACAGTATATGGCAGTGTTCCAACCAGTTAATTTTACTGTGTTTTAAACATAATAATGCTTTTGCTGTTACACTGCAGTGTGGAATTTGGAGACCATTCTTTCTCCATTGTTTGAATATGAAAAGAAATGTTTCAAGTCTTGGCTCTAATCTTCCTTTTACTATTAAACTGTTATGTTGGTAGGTAGTAGATGTCCTTCACCCTGGACGACCCAATGTTTCTAAGGCTGATATCCGTGAGAAGCTGGCTAAGGTGTACAAAACCACTGCTGATGTAATTATTTGCTATGGATTCAAAACTGCTTATGGTGGTGGAAGAAGTACTGGCTTTGCACTGATATATGACTCCCTGGATTTTGCGAAAAAATTTGAACCAAAATACCGCTTACAAAGAGTGAGTACAGCTTTCAGTTAAGGAAGTTTTTGGGACTCGTGTTGGTGAAATGTACTTCCCTCAGGGCAGTTTATTAGTTCACATCCATGAGTAATGTTTAGAGATCTCATCACATTCTCACTAAATATAGTTCTAAAATGATCACGTCGTAAAGTTAAATTTTTAATAGTATGGAATTTGTCAGGATATTTTGAAAGAACAACATCTAAAAGGCCTACTTGGCGAAAACTTACATTTGGGGGAAAACCGTCTTTGAGATATTTGCCCACTTATGCGCGGATGACTCCATACAAATCCTTCTAAATTTGTCTTTATTCATAACGTTATGGACAGTTTAACTGGGCTAAAATTTCAAAGACAATTTGCCCTCTTGGAACTTGCTGAGAATAAAAAAAATTCATTCCTAACAAAAAAAATAGTGTCTGGCTATTGGCAAATGAGATTACATTTATCAGAGGGTTGCATTATGCCGCAGAAAAGGTCTCTTCTGCAGCAAATTAAGGCATTTTTCTGGGGAAATATTCATTGGTGTGTGCTGATGTCAATAAAGTATAAAGGCAATATTAAAATTTCAGTGCCTCCACTTGATTTTTCCAAAGCTAAGTCACCTTGAGAAAACATCGTGGAGATTTTGCATTTTTTAATCATAAGATTTATGGATGATACCATCAGATGTGATTTGAAATCAACGGTGCAAATTTTCACTGTTGCATGATATGAGAAGCCTTGATGACTGTGTTATCCCAACTCTTTTTTCTTTTTGACTTAACTAGCATGGTCTCTATGAAAAGCCCAAGTCTTCACGGAAACAGAGAAAGGAAAAGAAGAACCGTATGAAGAAAGTCCGGGGCACCAAGAAGTCTAAAGTGGGAGCAGGAAAGAAGGTCTGTATCAATGCTCAGTTATTTGACGGGTTTCCAGATGTATAGATATTGCTCTTTATGTCATACATGTATACCCAGAGTTTTATGACAACACACAACTGGGCCCAGTTGTTCGAAGGCTGATGAGCACTAACCCAGGGTTAAATTTCAACCAGGGTTTCCTTTTCTTTTGTTTAAAAACGTTTTTCTGGATAATTTTCTCACTTCTTTTTAGAGCATCAAATCATCAAATTGTAGACAAAAAGATTAAAACTGAATTTGCCTTCCAAACTTTCATATCTGAATTGGAATTTTTCACTAACCCTGGGTTATCTTAACCCTGCTTTGAACAACCTGGTTCCGGGCAGTAGTAACCCTTAAACCACATTTTTCTTTATTTTAATGGCTTTGTTGAAGCAAGTTCAGTGCACTATTAGGACAAAAGTTAAGTGCCTGACAGTATAAGAATTCACGAGAGTTCCAATATTCAGTTCACTGAACTGTGGGAACACTCGTGGCGAAATGAACCTCTTACTAGGCTTTTTGCAACTTGTGTCTGTCATAATGCTAGGCTCAGTTGCAAGTGTCTAGTGTGACTAGTGCATTTAAAAATACTGAAAGATTGACTTGCTTCATAAAGTGTACTCTGGTAGCAGGGCCTTTATTTTACTAGCCTGATTGTGGTGTACTAGAAGAAAGATGGTACATTTGTTGCTTCTTGCTGGGATGCAATTTTGAACCCAGGCCTAATAGTAATAGTAGAGTAGGCTCAGTTGTGACAATCAGTTTATCAATAAGTGAATGCTTACACTTGGAAAACCAGATTGACAATAGAGTACAAGCTTGATTAGCCCAGAAATTGGGCTTCGGTGACTTCAAAGGCCTGACGTGATTCAAGCAGAACCTCCTTTTCTCCTCCTCTCGCGAGAAGAGTAAAGAAGGCTCTGTTGCTTGTGGGGTAACACAAATGGTAGGTGAAAAAGATTCCTGATTCCTTTCTCCCTTCAAAAGCACAATGTGTTCAGTCATGGTGTAGTACCCTTGTGCGGCATTTACACCTTTTTTGTGCTTACCAATCATCTTGTGTGCATCCATAAACGAAATAGTACAAGTTGAGCTGACGTCCATCTTAAAATATAATCAAAATAGAAAACCATTTATATTTGCTTTTAGTTAGTAGTACGTACTAGCGTTCCTTCATCAGCATGCACCAAAGGTGGATGTCTGTTCTAATTGTCTTTTTCATTTCTGTTTCCTTTCAGTGATGGGCAGCTGTCATTCAGTGTAAAGTGCTCAATCTTTGTATCATTAAAATTATCAAGTGATCACAGTAGTGTCTTTCTTGTTGTCCTTGCTTAAATCAGCAATGATTCATGGATACTGGTAATATAAACAGTTCATGCAGCATTTTCAGATGTCAAAGATGATATTTTAACCCTTCAAGCCCCCTTTAAGCCAGGCTTTAACCCCTAATATCCACATGAAAATTCTCCAAATCCATGTTCATGTATTTCCTTTAAGAATCAATCAGTTCAGAGAATTTTATAAAATATGAAAGCATTTCCCCTTTGATGATCAATTTGTCCATTTTGCTAACCTTTCTCTTGATGATGGGAGAAAACTGATGTTGGTCACTCTTGGGACGGAAAGGGTAAAGAACAAGCCCTTTGCAAGACCTCCAGTAGGGCTTTTACAACTGTCGGTCATGTGATCAATGATTTTTCTTAAACGTGAAAGGAATTTGTTTTGGAGAAGAAGCTTCTTTGTGCTTACATATCACAGGTGAAATTCTTGCTTATTTTTTTTCTTTCTATTAAAGAGAACGTGCTGGGAACAACTTTTTTCTTTTTCCACAAACCTGGTGTGGGATAAGTCAGTTCGAAAGAAATAATAAACGCCACATCCAATAAGAAAGAGTGCGGCGTTCATTTAAGGATTATAAGGAAAAAATAACATTACAAGTACGGCACAGCTTAGCCTGCGTAGCTGGCGGTATTGTGTAGTAGTCGAGTGAGATTTGGCGGCGGAGCCGTTGTAATATAGTCGAGTGAGATTTGACGGCGGACCTACTCCCTTTTTTTGGAACACGGCTCCGCCGCCAAAACTTTAATCTCGCACCCACACAATACCGCCAGCTACGCAGGCTAGGCACAGCTCGGTAATCTACACCATCCTTTTAAATAATATACTAGCCTGCGTAGCAAGCGTTTCCTCGCAAGGTTCGTCTAGAAAGCTGGCACAAGGGCAAAAAAAATTTTTTTTTGCTCCCGCTCTAACTTTCTCGCAACAACTCGATTGGAAACTCTTGCTACGCAGGCTAATAATATACCATCCTTCGTAATATACATGTACTCGGGAAATCGATGAAGATGAAATGTTCATCAAAAAGGAATCTCTTTATTTGGATCGGATCATCGACGCAGAACGACCAGAATGGACCAAAGAGTAAAGAATACGTAAGGTCGAGATTGTAGAAGAATGCGGAAGAAAATAATGTTCCCCCAAATTTACTGAGTATCCAAGATCATGTCAAAATCAGGGATTTAGACTCACAGTTTTCCAAATCAACCCCGCCAGTCTCCCAAATAGCCTGTGAATACAGCCGTCGCTCCTGGCCGTGACGGTCGTTTCGCCCGAAACATCGCTGATGGCGAAGAGCGAGTAGACACGGCCCTATTCGCGCGCAGCGGTCGCTATCTACCAAATCGTTTCTAGGCGGGTGACTTGATTAAATTTTCTTTCCTTGTCTAGTCCCGGAGGGGAGTACTTAACAAAGGTAGATACGGGGAGGCTACACGTTTTAGTTCTTCATTTACTCACAGTTGCCATAGAAACTCTAAATTTCCCTTACAAACTCTCATATTTCGCTTGGTGTACCTGTGGTATGGTAAGTTCTTGGTCTTCAGGCAGCCCAGGTCAGCAGAAGTTATTGGACTGAAAAATTACTGACACCCGAATTAAAAATTCCGGGGCTCGCAAAATTATGATTTAAAAACCTACTGTTTCAGTTACAAATGTGGTAGAATTTTTATGGCTTTCCAATTGCTTGAAACGCTATTTAGTTTTTACATGTAAATAGGTACCTTTTTTCGCGCTTTTGAGAACATCTCTTTCGGCCGCGAAAGACGTTTTTGCGCTTTTGATAGGAACGTTTCTAAACGAAAAAAGGTACCTTTTTCGCGCTTTAAAGCCTTGTTTGGGAAAGTGAGAATTGTATGAAAAGCGGACAATATTTACGTCAAAATGTTTACGTCGAAAAGATGTGAATACTCGACTTTTTTTTTCAAAAAAGTTACCTTTTTTCCTGAACTTGCATTTTGTTCGATAAAAAATCCCAGAATGCAGCGTAATTTTTCTTTTTGTTTCAACAAGCAGATCAGAGTTTTGTAAAAAAAGAAAAAAAAAATAGAAGTGCCAGAGCCTCGAGTTGGTGCCTTTGTTTACAGAAATGCGGCAATGTTGCTTGGTGTATACAGCTATTTCAAGAAAGGTTGTTGCAAAAAATGTGCACACGACAATCCTGAAAGGTAATACCTACTTTTTTTGTTGCTTTCCTTTAGCAGTCGCAAACAAATTTCTTTGAAGAACAGCAGTGAACTCAAAACCACCCACACCACCTTTCAGGATTGTCGCGGTTAATCGGCATTGCGGCAGCACTAAAACACGGAATCCGGAATCCGGAAACGGAAACGGAATCCGGAAACGGAAACGGAATCACGGAAACGGAAACGGAATCACGGAAACGGAAACGGAAACGGAAACGGATACGGAATCTGTGAAAGAAGGTTCCAAGCGATCGATTTGAAAAAAAATATATTAGCAATGACAATAAAATAAATAAACAGATAAAAAAAAAGACACAAATGAATAAATTAGCTGAGTAGAGGAGAGGAGACTGCTGTATCACTAGAGGAGTCGATTCCGGTGAAAAGACGCTTGATACCACTATCGGCAATGAATAAAAATTCTCATGGGACAGCAAAGCGAGGAGAAAAACGTTACTGACAAAAACTAGTGCCTTAAGAAAAAGGTAAGTTATATGGAGACAGACTTCGTTTGAATCGTCAGAGGCGTCGTTTATATAACTGAAAGGCGTCGCCGTCAAGTTTTTCTTAGTGTCTTTTCTGGGTTGTCTTCAACAGTGTTCAGTTTTATTTATCAAGACAACTTACTCAAGAGAACCATGGCATTGTGGAGTCCAAAGAGAAGAG